GCAGGCGAGCCGGTGAAAATGTCGCCGGAGATAGAGGGAGTAGTTGCCCTGATCTATTTGAAGAGCCAACAGGGGTTCTCGAGAGGGAGGTCGTCCACGTGATAGAGATTATACCAGGCTCTAGTTTTCTGAAGGGTAGGATCTATCGGATGTCTCCAGGCGAGCTTGATGAGCTTCGCCGCCAACTCGAGGAACTCGTAGAGAAGGGTTGGATCCGGCTGAGTGTCTCTCCTTATGGGTCTCCAATTCTATTCATGCCTAAGAAGGAGGGTACTCTTAGGATGTGCATTGACTATCGGCACCTCAATGCCATCACTGAAAAGAATAGAGAGCCCCCCTACCGCGCATCGACGATCTACTAGATAGAGTGCAAGGGTGTCGGTACTTCAGTAAAAAAGATCTGAAGTTCGGGTACCATCAGATTGCAATTCGGCCCAAGGATCAACACAAAACCGCCTTTCAGACCAGGTACAGTCTGTACGAGTTTGTGGTGATGCCTTTCGACCTTTGCAATGCTCCTGGCACCTTTCAGCACGATGGGGCAGGCGTTGGGATCCTTCGCTCCCGTTGGTAGCAATGTGGCTAGCACTTCTGGCACTTCTTCGGGAAACACGTCCGGCCAGTAGGAATCGTAGTTGTTCCTGCTAGGGTCGAGGTGGTGGACACACCCTCACCATCTCGAGAGATGGCCCAAGCTATTGACTCCATCGTCGTCCCGCAAACACGTTCAGACCCATCGAGCCTCTGTTCGATGAATGTGTTTCAGTCCTTAGAGAGGCTAGAGGAGGAGTGGTCTAGAACAGATCCGCTAGCTTCTTGGACGGCATTGGTCAAAGCCCCTAAGGGTGAGATCCTGGTTAGCGAGGTAGTCATCGGCGGCCGCAAATCCGGGGCCTATTGTGACACTTGCTCGACACAAAATTTCATTAGTTGCGCGTGCGTTGAGAGGCCACGCTTACAGGGGTAAGTGCAGCGCCTGAGTCGACCTGTGTAGTCGACCTGTGCCAACAAACAGCGTACGGTAGTCAACGACTACCTCCAAGATGTTGAGTGTTGTTTCTCGTACATGGGAGGGGAACTGAGACATTGTGTCTCGTTCCTAGTGAGCGATGAACTCCCCATGGATATATTGTTACGTATGCACCACCTCTCTGTGGCACAACCCCATTTTGACTGGGACCGAAAAGTGGTCAAACACACTTTGCTAGGGGGAGGGACCGCCAGATTACATAGTAGTCTGATCGAGTCCCATGGATGCATGTGTGCGGCCACGTTCTATAATTACTATAAGCAAAATCAGGAGGAGGGTATGTATCTAGTTTATTTCTCTGCTGCAGGCGAGCCGGTGAAAATGTCGCTGGAGATAGAGGGAGTAGTTGTTAAGTACCCTAATCTATTTGAAGAGCCGACAGGTGTTGTTGAGAGGGAGGTCGTCCAGGCAATAGAGATAATCCCAGGGTCTAGCATCCCGAAGGGTAGAATCTATCGGATGTCTCCATGCGAGCTTGACGAGCTTCGCCGGCAACTCAAGGAACTTGTAGAAAAGGGTTGGATCCGGCCGAGTGTTTCTCCTTATGGGTCTCCAGTCCTATTTGTGCCCAAGAAGAAGGAAGGAACACTTAGGATGTGCATTGACTATAGGGGCCTCAATGCCGTCACCGTTAAGAACAGAGAGCCCCTACCGCGCATCAATGACTTGCTAAGTAGAGTGCAAGGGTGTCGGTACTTCAGTAAGATAGATCTGAAGTTCGGGTACCATCAGATTGCAATCCGGCCCGAGGATCAACACAAAACCGCTTTTCAGACCAGGTATGGTTTGTACGAGTTTGTGGTGATGCCTTTTGGCCTTTGCAATGCTCCTGGCACCTTTCAGCACGCTACTTGGATAAGTTTGTCATCGTGTACCTCGATGACATACTTATTTTTAGTAAGACTGTCAGGAGCACGTTGCGCACTTGGACAAAGTCCCGAGTCTTCTGTTACAACACAAGTTCAAGATCAACGGTGAGAAGTGCGAGTTTGGCTGCACCCGTGTCTTGTACTTGGGTCATGAGATTTCCGCGGAGGGATTAAAGCCCGATGACGAGAAGGTGGCCAGCATTCGTGACTGGCCGCGTCCTGAGTCTGTGACTGAGATGAGGTCTTTCTTAGGGATGACCAACTACTATCGCAATTTCGTGAAGAACTATAGCATAGTTGCCGCCCCTTTGACTGACCTGACTCGCCTTGACACCCCATGGGAGTGGACAGACAGATGCGAGGCTGCTTTCAGACATCTGAAGCATGCGAGGCTGCTTTCAGACATCTGAAGCATGCGTTGCCGCATCATGAGGTCTTGAAACTTCGTGATCCTGATAAGCCATTTGTAGTAACTACGGATGCTATCCAATATGGAATAGGTGTCGTACTTTCGCAGCAGGAGGGGAAGATGTTGAGGCCTGTAGAGTACATGTCCAAAAGGATGCCCTCTCAGAAGTTGGCTAAATCCACCTATGAGAAGGAACTCTATGCGATCTACAAGGCGCTCACCCATTGGAGACACTATCTCCTTGGGAGGTTCTTCTACGTCAGGACTGATCACCAGACCCTGAAGTGGATGAGAACCCAGCCTGTGCTCTCTGACGCTTTGAAGCGTTGGATTGAAGTCATAGAGCAGTATGACTTTGAGCCCCAGTACATTAAGGGCGAGTACAACAAGGTTGATGATGCGCTGTAGTGTAGACCAGATTTCTCTGGTGTGCTGATCACTGAGTTTGGGCTTGCGGACAATGTTACTCAGTCTATGGTGGAAGCCTATCGTGAGGACCGGTTTATGTCTGAGATCATACGCAGAGGCGAAGGACAAAGCAACTTCTGCCGAGTTTGAGTTGGTCAACGGAAGCAGCAGTACTGAATTCGGTTCAGACATCACACTTATCCCAGGGAGGACAGATGGTTCACAAGGGAGGAACTGATCTAGACCGCTCCACAGGTAGTCGCTCACTATGAGAAGTCTCTACGGAAAGGCAAGCACCAGATTATCGAAGACTGAACTTATCCGAGGACTAGCGAAGTATGGAGGAGGGAATGAGAGGCAAAGGCCTCGATATGCCCTACAGGGCCCCTATTTGCAACAGCGTCGGCCGCCGTAAGTGAAGGCAGGCCCGACGGACCCTAAAGGGCCTATTTTGGACTACTTTGCAACTGGAGAAAATGCAGGCAGTTGTTTAGCGCCAGTTGGTTGGAAGCGCCCAGGCCCTGATCTCCTTTATCAAATGCATCTGAGTCAGGCCCTGGGCAAGATTCGCAGCATAGGCCCAACTCAGACTGTGGGTAGTTGGGCACAAGTAACCGTCGGTGGCTCTGGGCCAATTCGTTTGGTCTGAGGCTCAGCCTCCCTGGGCCTACCAGAAGCTTCTGGGCGGAGGCCCAGCACAGTCAGGTTGCACGCACGCAGGCTGGCCATTTCCATATAGGAAAGGGCCAGCCCACGCTTTTGTCATTTGGGTGCTGGTTACATGCTGCGCAAGCGCTGCTGCTCTGATGCTGGCTAGCGCTCACGCGCTCACGGGCGAGCTGGAAGGAGCAGGCAGCCATAGCCGAGCTGCGCTGCTGGGAGCTGGGTAAGGCGCAGGGTGGTCCTCGGGTGCAAGTGGCATCTGTGAGTTGGGGAACGGGGTTGTGAGTGATACGAGAGACATACCTGGTGCTAGAAGCAACGGCATTTTCCGAGATCTGCTCGAACGTCGGTGAAGCTGTTGACGTCATCCGGCGGCATTGTAGAGTAGGCTAGATAGATCTGCCATCTGTAGTCGGGGCACCGAGTGCCAGATAGGATATGAACATTGGTTCCTCATTGGTGATGATGATGAGACTTTACCAGCATTGTCAATTATGAGCTCTTGGGGTGTTCTTATTTGGTGAAACTCGTGATGCAATTCTGCTGTTGGTTAGAGGTCACAACTATTTGGTCTTGTGTGTATGATGCTGTTTGATTTCTGAAGTTCGGTGTTGCTCATCTTCCTTGCACTCCCCTCCACTCCCTTTGTGCTACTAACAAATACATATGAATGAGCATCATTAAGAGAACGGACGAAATGAAGATCAGAAATGAAATGAACGGAAGTATGAAGATGGAGGACGGACACAAAGACTGTATAAGCTGAAGATCCTAAGTGAAATAAAGAGGGGTATGAAGCTCTGCCTCCTGAAATAACGTGACAGTGGGCGGTGAAGGCATACAGGGATGTGGGCAGCTACTGCTCGACCACAATCAACGGGGTGTGTGTAAGAGGCACAGTAAAAGGGGAGCTGCAAGAACAATGAAAGGGGAACCCCAAGGACAACCAAAAAACTGTCTAATTATAAAATTGCTTTAATATATTGGACATCTCAAATGCTCTCGTTGTCTGCAATAGGACAAAGACTGCTTTGATTCTGAATCTATTCATCTGGGTGGAATTGTGGCTGTTGTGGGGAAAATCTAAAACACACACGCACACACACACACACACGCACATACAGAGAGAGATGGACAGATGGACACACTGATGGCCAGACAGATGAATGGACAGACAGACATGTCTTTTGTCCTTTTTTTTTTTTTCCTGGATGCTTCTGTATGCATTTTATTATACTTTTGTTCTCTCTCATTTGTTCAGTGGCTTGCGAGTGAAGCTATAACATGGCACTTAGACTTTCGTGTTCACCTGAATAGAACGCCTTGTCACTATAGCTGTAATTGGTCAAATTTGAGTCTAAATACAGCCATAACGACAGGGCGTTCTATTCCGGTGAAGACGTTCGGTCTGCCCTCTCTTCTGCGCTCTTTGGGCATCTCATAGGCTTTTTGCTTTCATTACGGCTGTTGGGTGAGAAATGTGGAGCTTGAATTACTTGCGTAAAACTGGTGGGCAGTCTAGTCTGGCTGGAATGGGTGGAGTGACTTCTGGTTTTGTTTAATTTTCTTGAGGACAGAAGGGGTGACTCTCCTAGATTGATCTTGCTTCTATGAAGTGCAGAAGGACCAAATCACATCTATATTCCAAGCTGAGCAGCTGTGGGAAAAAGGATTTTCTGGCCAGAAGGTCCGGATGGCAGTGTTTGACACGGGTGTGCGAATTGACCATCCACATTTCAAGAACATAATGGTAGGCATAACACCTCCCAAGTTCATGGGACTTTTGCTTGTTCCTCTAGGACTTTTGCTGGTTCCTCTGATCCCTCCCCCCCAACCTGGCCCCCCCAAACACATACACAAAAACTCTGGTTGTTGCTGCTGTTTTTCAAGAAGAAAGCAAATGCGAGGGTTTACCCCTCGACATAAGGCCCTGCAGCAGTTGCATGCCCTCGCTATGTTAAGGCGGGCCCCCTGAATCTCAATATGCCCTGAACTAGTCATTTTTTGCAAATCTTGGGGGGCGCCAGACAGTTGCCACGCACTACTTGGCATAAGGCCCTTCAGCAGTTACACACACACACATGCTGTGCTTGTTGCTGTTGTTTTTCAAGAAGAAAGGCAAATGCGATGGTTTACCCCTCGACATAAGGCCCTGCAGCAGTTACATGCCCTCACTAAATGAAGGCGGGCCCTCTGAATCTCAATATGCCCTGAACTAGTCATTTTTTGCAAATCTTGGTGGGCGCCAGACAGTTGCTACGCACCAGTTGGTTACATTCACTTTGCTCGTGAGAATGGGAAATATACGTGAGCCTTCCAGGCTCTTATAGCAACGTGGGCAAAGCAGGGAACACTGCATGTTTGTGCCTGGGTGGTTGGGCATGCCTAACCAATTCGGTCCCAGGCCACTGTCTGAGCAGGCCTGGATGCAGACACTCTGCCTGAGACTGAAGCTACTGGGTCTCACGGGGAAGCAAGGGGGGAATGCGCCCGCCACTTTCCGTGTAGGAAAGGGCTGGGCACCGGGCTGGGCATTCGGGCACCGGTGTGCAACGTGGCAGTGCTGCTTGAGCATGTGCTCGCGGCCGAGGCTGTGTGCTAGTGGAGGGTGCTGAGAGATGCGCGTGTGTGGTGGGTGTGAACAGGGCGCCACTGAGGGCAGTGTGATAGCCCAGCCAACGTAGCGCGGCTTGGGCTTGGACAGGCAGCAAGAGGTGGTGGTGGTCTTCGTGTACGAGGGAGAAGACGCGGGTGAAGTCAAGGGTGAAGGAGAGAGAGATGAGGTTGATGATGTGAGGGCACGTACCTGGTCTTGGCGATGGTCTACACGGTTGACATCTTCAAGTACTTTACTTCGGTTGTTGCTGCTGACGCCAACAGGATGCATTGTCAATTCGTAGGCTGCTAGTAAGCTGGGTGATCGTAGTCTGGGCGTTGAGCGCCAAGTAGGAGGAAGGACTTTGGATACATATGTTGGTGGTGGCGAGAGTATGCTCTCATTGACATTCGGATTCAGTGCTTTGGTTCTCCGTTGGTGGAATATCAGTGCATTTCTGCGTTCTGGACAGCGTTGGACTTGCTGGCTTTCGATGTGATCTTGCACTCTGGATTTCTGTCATTTCGCTATTGCTCATATTCCGTGCACAAAGAAGTTGTGAAGGTAACATGGACTCCCAATCTATGCGTGTGCCCACAAGTCAGCATTTGTTACATGATCTATGTGTTGAAACCTGGGTTAGGCCGACGCCCGGCCCAGACCGACGGGG